TTCTCTCTCTCTCTCTCTCTCTCTCTCTCTCTCTCTCTCTCTCTCTCTGTCCCTCTCAGGTCAAATTAAAATAAATAAAGTTTAAAAGAAAACCCTAAAACAGGAAAATAAAAAGCATTTGCTAACCTAAGTTAACCTAATAAAGGCTATGTGGTGTTTTTATTTATTGGTTTTTCTGTGTCTTTGTGTCTGAAATACTCCCTCAGTCACATACCCACACTAGACCCCTACTTCTAGAAGACTCCTGAACCCTTTCTCATCCAAAAGAAATCAAGAGCCCAGCCTAAAATCAAGACTTCAATTTTGTCTGACTTCCCTTCCAACCCTCAAGCATTGTGTATTCTATTTACTTGGGAAGCTTGTTATAAACATGGATTTCAGCACCTCAGGATCCCATGCCTGAACATTCCCCAGGCTTCTCCACTGAAAGTTACATAAGGTTTGGACTGCATTTTCCTAGAGACCCTGCCTAGAGCTCCTGAGCATGAAAGGAGCAGGCTAAAACCAAAAGCAAAGGGGCTGGGGGGCCCGGACTGTGGCACAGGGGGAAGTTGCTGCACTCTGCAAGGATGACCCAAACGGAATGTTCCAGGTTTCTGCCCAGAGATTTCCTGAGCATGCCAGGCACACACATGCCTATCTGGGTTTGGCAAATATTGGGGGGCAGATCATGGCATCAAGTCCTGTTGAGTGTACTGTCTCTCTGTGTCTCTCGTGGAAATGGTACATAAACTTAAAAAAAAAAAGGATCCCAGGCAAACTTTGAAAGTTTACACTAACTAGCTCAAGATTTACAAATTCAGACTGACAGCTTTTAAGAACGCAGAGCCGTCTGGAGGAAGATGGGAATCAGTAATAAAATGCTGGACATCTAACGCAAGGGGAACCTCTTGATTTGCTCGTTTCTTTATGAGTTCAGCCACTGGGAGAACATTATACACAATTTTTAAGGTCCAGTAAAATGTGTATATTATATGGTGGTTTACACAAAATGTTGAGGGTACAATGCAGCTGGAAAAGATAGTGGGTCTGTGTGAACAGAAAATTCCTCAGATAACTAATGACTGTATAAACAAAACAGACAGCCTGTGACCCCCAGGTTCCATGACTCAACGTCCACTCATTCTTAAGTAAGGACATTTTGGCCTTTTGGTAGTTCCTCTGCTCTTCTAGATTGTCTTTTTATAATAATAAAGTTACCATTTAATGAAGCCTTCTCTACTAGGAGCTCTGCCAAGCACTACATGTATATTAGCTCATTTAATCTTAGAAACCCTCTGAGGAAGGTATGATTACCCTCTTTTTAAATGAGAAAACTGAGAGCAAAGACGTAAAGTGTCCTGCGCAAAATTGTGACCTCAATGAGTGGTGGAGCCCAGACCCCTGACCTCTAAGCAAGCTCTATCACCATCCTAATTCAACTTGAATTCTTCTGAATAAAATGAGGTGAGGTGGCCAGCAGGTGGTGTGGAGGTTAGGGTGTTGGATCCCGCATGGCCAGCTGCACAGTTCCAGTCCCAGACCCAGATGCCTTTTATTTTTCTGATAAGTTTTTTTTTGCCATAGGGCGCATGCGCTCACCAGACAGAGAGAGACAGAGAGACAGAAAGTGAAAAATTACCCCCCAGGGGGGATGGCTACGCCACAGTCTCTTGTCCATCTCCTCTCGGGATCTTGGGCACGCAAGCACATGCGCCCAGCATGAGTTTTAAGCCACTGGGTCCGGGATGCAAACCGCGGTCAACTACGTGGAAGTCCAGTGACACAGTCATTACACCAACTGCTAGCCCCGACCCAGCCACTTTAAAATCATGCGTACCCTGGGACCAGCAGTTGGTATAGTGGCTTTGTCCCTGGACTCCCACGTAGTCAACTGTGGTTCGAGTCCTGGACCCGGTGGTTTAAACTCACGCCGGGCGCATGTGCGGCCTCTCCCAAAAAAAAAAAAAGAAAGAAAGAAAGAAAGGAAGGAAGGAAGGAAGGAAGGAAGGAAGGAAGGAAGGAAGGAAGGAAGAAAGAAAGAAAGAAAGAAAGAAAGAAAGAAAGAAAGAAAGAAAGAAAGAAAGAAAGAAAGGGAAAATCATGTGTTTCCAAAATCCCAAGAGGAGACTGGAAAGGACTGTGGCATGGCCATACCCTCTGGGGTGCTTTCCCACTTTCTCTGTCTGTCTCTTTCTCTGGAGAACACACACACCTCACAGCAATGCCTCTTGGGATTTTGGGAATGCATACACATGTGCCCAGCCTGAGTTTTAAGCTGCCATGTCCAGGACTAGAACTACAGTCAACTATGTGGGAGTCCAGTGACATAACCATCATAACGTCTGCTGGTCCCAAATAAATATTTTTTTTAAGAATTATTTTATTTAACTTTATTTTATTTTTACTTGACCAGAAGGAGACAGAGAGAGAGGGAAAGTGAGAAAGTAAGCCACCAGATCTGATACTTGAACCACAGTCAGCCACGTGGGAGTCCAGTGCTATTAACCACCATGCCATCTGCCTGCCAGCCCCCAAATAAAAAAAAAAAATGCTGACCTGGGGCCAGCCAGTGGCATGGTGAAGGTAGTTCAATCCCACATGGCCAGCTGTGCAGTTCAAGTCCCAGGCCCTGTGGCTTGAAAACCCCTCTGGGTATTGTCAAGCACATGCATCCTCTAGCAAATACTACAAAAGGAAAATGCTGGCCTGAACTCACAGTGTTGTAAGGATCATTTGAAGACGCTTGAAAGTTTGTTATAAACTGGGAAGTGGGTAAAAAGGCCATTATTGTTATTATTATGCTTTGTGTTTACATAGCATCCCCATCACCCTTAGAATCTGCTCTCAAGTATTCCTAAGGAATCTAACTCCTATGTCCATCCAACCAAGTCCTCCTTACTGAAAAGCTCTAGGAAAATTAATTTCAAATCTCTCCACTTACATAAGAAAGCAGGACAGAGCTTCCACATCAGGAGTCTGGGACAGGTGCCTCCGGGCCAAGGCTTTGTAGCGCTGCCAGCGACGGAAGTTCTCATAAACACCCTTGGAAGTATAGGGGAGCTCACCCAGTGAGGGCTTGGATCGGGCAGCTGTAGGACCTCCTTCCCCACTGGTTCCATGTGGCCCTAGCCATGCCTTTTCCAGGGGCAAAATGGGGGCCAGTTGGGCAACTGGTGGTGGAGCCTGATGAGGAAGGCCTGGGGGACCCTCCTGGTTCACCCCAGCTGCCTTCGTGAGTAGGGCGGTCTTCACGTTAGAGGTAGCCACAAATCGAGGTGGAGGGGCCTCTGGCCCCCCGCAAGCACCTGAGGCAATCCAATTGAGAGCGGTCTGAGTAAGGATAAAGTTCTGAGTCTGAGAGGGCTCAGCCAGCCCTCCTTCTGTCTTGACTTTGACAATGACCTTGCCAGCTCCAGCCCCATTGGAACCAGGGCCCATGTCCCCTGTCACCAGCAGCGGGTTGGGGAAAGCAGAGAGCACCAGAGGGTTGCTTGGAGAGAATGCAGATGGCAGGGGAGGCTGTGGAGGTGGCTCCCAGGGTGGTTGGTCTGGTGCGCCAGGAGTAGGTGGGGAAAAGGGAAGCGTAGTGAAAGGAGACAAGGTGGCTCCCAGTTTCAGGGTCATATCTGGTCCTGGCAGTGGAGATGCTGTTGAAACAAAGAAAAAGAGCGAATGTCGCAGGACAAAAGAAGACCAGGAGTTAGCCCATCTGCATCCCCCTATGGGCCCTGAAGAATCGAAGCACTGATTCTCAGTGGTGAAATGGGGCTATGGGTGAAGAAATCGTGTAGTTTGCCAATGTCCCCAAGTGATTCGGCTGTCCCGCACTCCCAGAGAGAATTACTGCACTAGAGAAGTTGTTCCCTTTTCAACAAGACACACAGACTTCTGTCTGCTAGAAGACAAGCCGAAGTCATCACTGTCTCCAAGAGCTTCTCAAAGGAGTTCCCAGCAGACCTCCCTGCTGGCCCCGTAGGCTGTTTACTGAGACATGGAATAGGGCGGACACCTGCTCTGCTCTGCTCTGCTGGGCGAGGGGGCACTGTGGGGAGTAGACCTCCTCACCCCAGGGACAGAGCAGAACTAGAACTGGTCTAGGATAAATGCTGGCCCATTTTGTACCCAAGAGGCCTTGAGAAGGAGGCACTTTCAAAAAGATTATTGGCCCAGGGAACCAGCAGTTAGCGTAATGGTTATATCACTGGACTCCCACGTAGTCGACCGCGGTTCGTGTCCCGGACCCGGTGGCTTAAAACTCACGCCAGGCGCGTGTGCGTGCGTGCCCAAGATCCCGGGAGGAGAGTGGAGGAGAAGGGATTGTGGCGTGACCATCCCCCCTGGGGGGTGATTTCTCGCTTTCTGTCTCTATGTCTCTCTCTCTCTGTCTGGCGAGCGCACGTGCCCTACAGTGATAATCTCTCAAAAAAAAAATGATTATTGGCCCATTCTATCCTCATTTTTCTTTACTTTTTCCTCTTCCTTTCTCAACCTTAAAAAAGAAGAAGAGGGACCAGCAGTTAGCGTAATGGCTATGTTGCTGGACTCCCACGTAGTCGACCGCAGTTCGAGTCCTGGACCCAGTGGCTTAAACTCACGCTGGGCGCGTGTGCTTGTGTGCCCAAGATCCCGAGAGGAGAATGGAGGAGAAGGGATTGCAGTGTGGCCATCCCTTCTGGGAGTGATTTCTCCCTTTCTATCTCTCTGTCTGTCTGGCGAGCGCACGCGCCCTATAGCAAAACAAAACAAAACAAAACAAAACAAAAAACCTCTCCAAAAAAAGAAAAAAAAAAAAAAGAAGGAGGAGGAAGAGGAGGAGGAGGAGGAGAAGAAGAAAAAGAAGAAAGGCAGGAACAACAAATTTAGGGCCATTGACCCTCATATCCCAAACACCTCCCACCCAGCATGCATGGACATCTCATCAACACTTATACCAAACAAGAGAAGTCAAACCATCTGAACCCTGCTTCCAGCTGCACTGAGGTCCTTGCCACTCACAGAAGTGCTGTTCCCAGGACAGGGATGTGGATGGGATGTTTGGTTCCCAGAAATTTTGTTACATCACAGCCAGGAACAACTAGAGAGGACTAGATAAGGACCAGGAAATGGACAAGGGGAGGGTAGTGTGGGGAGAGAGTTTTCCAGAACTTTAAGTAACTGTTGGACACGTTCAAATTTGTTGATGCAGATGCTCTGGTTCCTCCTCTTAGAGCTCCTAATACCAGAAATTTAGGACCCACTAGGAATGGGGTACTGAGCAAGTGCACAGAAAAGGACAGAGAAGGGGACCGGCAGGTGGCATGGTGGCTAAAGGCACGGGATTCCCACATGGGTGACTGCAGTTCAAGTCCTGGACCTGGCGACTTCCTTTCTCATTTTCCCTTTCTCTCTCTCTCTCTTCTGGTCAAATAATAACAAAAGGATTATATGAGGAAATGCTCAACATCCCTCATCATAAGGGAGATACAGATAAAAACCACAATGAGATACCACCTAACCCCTGTCAGAATGGCAAAGATTAAGAATATAAACAGTGATAAGTGTTGGCGGGGATGTGGTGAAAAGGGAACCCTCCTACACTGTTGGTGGGAATGTAAACTGGTTCAACCACTGTGGAGAACATATGGAGGTTCCTCAAAGATCTACAAATAGAACTACCATTTGATCCAGCAATCCCACTTCTGGGTATTTACCCAAAAGACAGGAGAACACTCAGTCAGAAAAGTGCTTGCACATCGATGTTTATTGCAGCATTATTCACAATTGCCAAGACATGGAACCAACCTAAATGTCCACAAACTGATGAATGGATTGGAAAAGTGTGGTATATATACTCTATGGAATACT